CCCCCCTTGTTGCGGCAGGCACGAACGATACTTTGTCGCAACCGATGCAAGGACCGACTTGAAGAACACCATGCGACACTTGGGTCTTCCTTGGGCGTCGCTCTCCTAAGTCCACGCCCTCTCAGGGCTGCTGCCATCGCCGCCTCAACAATAAACGCGCGTCTGCCTGATTTTTTTCTTTCTACATGTTGTTCTCGTTATGCTTCCATCATGGTGATGGACAACACGCCAAAGGTTGAGGGGGCAGGAGGCAGAGCTCAAGACCGGCGCGGAAAAGCTCAAGAGGCAGAAGGCCGCGGCGGCGGAACGGCAGGTACGAACGTAGGGGTCCACGCACGAACAACAGCAGGTGGTTGGTTGCCCCTTGAATGTTCAGTTGGTCCGGGTTTCGGACGCAAAAAAAAACGCGGACGCCCGGAGTGGAGAAGACCTGTACCACTCGCAAGTACCAATTTGCTCATCTCGCATGGTGTGCAACGACAACCAATTTCTCCGTTGTTCCTCGCCAGTTGCTGGTACCATATAATTTTGTTTTCATCCTCTCTACACACACTGCTCCTGTGTGTATGTTTTCTTCAACAAGTCCCTCACAGCTTGTGTGTGTGCGTCGTTCCATTAGTCCTGGACATCAATCAGCCTTCACACCTTTCGGTAAGTTTTCTGAGCGAGGGCATCAGTGGTGGTCACACACGAGGAAGGCCACACAGGAGTTGAGTTTGTTTAGGGGTGGGGTTGCGACCCTTTCAACGATTCACATTTTTTGCAAGATGTACTTCACGCCCCCCCCCCCCATTGCCTTGTGCCTTTGGGCCCTGTGCACCGCCGTGGCTTGCTGTTGGATTCTGGTGAAGAGGGCGATGGAGGCAGAGATGGAAGAGTTCCGCGTGCTGCAGCTGGAGGAGAAGAAAGTTTTCCTCAACAATCTGGAGGCGGCAGAGCGGAAGCTCAAGAAAAAGGAGCGAGAAGCGGACGAGGTGAGTTCAATGGTTGTGGGTTTTTGTCGTGTAGGTGTGTGTAGGGGGGGGAGCGAGCAAGTAAGGGTAGCAGCAGCGTGAGCAGCCAACCGAACGGAATAAGTGTATCTCGTTCTCGTTCTTTGTTCCGAATTTTTCGTCTCGGAGCGTTCGCCTTCCCACTCTTCCCCCCCCCAACCCATCCATTTGAAACGTTTTGGTGATGCCCGTTGCGTGTCCGGTCCATCTGCCCGTCCCCTTGTGTAAGTGGTGAACATGCACAAGTGAACACGTATGATATCATTCATATCTCGTGCATTGCATTACCTCATTGGTATTTGCCAGTGGGGCGCCAAAAAGCACAGCACATGCCGAGAATCGGCCAACACGGTGGGCGTTGTTTGGCGTTACTGTTGTTTAGTTTGCTCCAAAGGGTTTATCCCAGGAAAATCACTGGCACGGTCCGCGCATCCCTCCGCAAGTGCCGAGGGAGCAACGATCTAGCATGGCGTGCAAATGCGTTGCCGTCTTGCGATTCGTTTGCCCTACAGTACCTTGACTGACAAAAAGCAATAACAAAGAGCGTACGATATAACAGTACATTTCGTAGTAGTATTTCTAATAACCACAACAGCGACAACAACAACAACAACAACAAGATCATCAGCAACAATCGAACCGGTTTCACTCCATTCCAGGCAAGGGCCGCGCTATCCGTTGTGGAGGTGTTCGCTATGGAGAGGGAGGACGCCGCTACGAGGCTCACGCGCGAGAAGGAGGAGCTCCTGGAGGAACTCAAGGGGGCTCGTTCGGGCCAGGATCGTTCCGCGGAAGAGGTGTGACGCCGCCTGCTTGCTTTGCGGCCACTGCTTGCTGCTTTCTTTGTTTGTCTCGACCT